CCAGGAAGCGCACGTAATCGTTGTGCTGGGATGGGTTGATCACCGTTAAGGCTCCAGGCACGCCGACGTCCTCAAAGCGGTCCTTGAACGGGTAGATGTTGCCATAGAAAGAGAGGGTGCGCGCCGCGTTGTTGTCGTCGTCTGAGCGGTCCAGCTGCACCAGGACGTGGCGACGGCCTCTCGGCGGCAGGACGGTAGAGAAGAATAGAGAAACATAGAGAAAATCCAAGAAAGAAACTTTTGAAAACATGAAATTAAAACGCTTCATTTCTTTCTTGGACTTACTCTGTTTTTATCTATTCTTCTCTACTTGGCGCCGAACGACTTTTTGAAGCATTCTGAATTGCCAACAACCTGTATATGATTCAATTGGGGAAAATCTTCACGCACGTAAATCTACCAGTAGTACCGCACAAGGCGGCGGCGGAAGTTTCAAAAATAGGAAACCTATAGGAGAGGTTGGTTGTTGTGAATCAGGGATGGCAGAGCCAAGCCACTGATGGACTGAAAGGTGCTTGATCTCTCACTCTTTCTATCTCTTTCTCTGACTATCTACCTACCTACCTATCTATTTTCTATGTATCTATCTATCTATCGATCTATCTATCTATCTATCTATCTCTCTCTCTCTCTTTCATCTAATTACCCAATCTATCTATCTATCTATCTGTCTGTCTGTCTGTCTGTCTGTCTGACTGTCTGTTTGTCTATCTGTCTACCTGTCTATCTGTGGTGCAGTGTCATTCAGTGTATTGTAGTGTAGTGTAATGTAGTGTAGTGTAGTGGAGTGTAGTGGAATGTAGTGTAGTGTAGTGTAGTGTAATGTAGCGTAGTGTAGCGTAATTTCGTGTAGTGGAGTGTAGTTGTGCAGTCGTAGTTGTAGTTGTAGTGTAGTGGAGTGTAGTGTAATGTAGTGAAGTGTAGTGGAAGGTAGTGTAGTGTAATGTAGTGTAGTGTAGTGGAGTGTAGTGTAGTGTAGTGGAGTGTAGTGTAGGGTAATGTAGTGTAGTGTAGTGTAATTTAATGTAGTGTAGTGTAGGGGAGCGTAGTGTAGTGTAATGTAGTGTAGTGAGATTTAATGTAGTGGAGTGTAGTGGAGTGTAGTCTAGTTGTGTAGTTGTAGTTGTAGTGTTGTGGAGTGTAGTGTAGTGTAATGTAGTGTAGTATAGTGGAGTGTGGTGTAATGTAACGTAGTGTAGTGTAGTGAAGCGAAGCGGCGAAGCGACATCTGAACCTCCAAAAGTGATCCGAACCCCTAGTGTTTTGTACATTTTCACTTCGAAATGTGCTTCGCGCCACAACGGCGTGCACTTTTTCAACATCCGAACCTCCAAAAGTGGCGCGAACATGTGGTGCTTTGTACATTTTGACTTGGAAATGTGCTTCGCGCCACAACGGCGTGCACTTTTTCGACATCTGAACTTCCAAAAGTGGTCCGAGAATGGTGTGCTTTGTACATTTTGACTTGTAAATGTGCTTCGCGCCACAACGGCGTGCACTTTTTCGACATCTCAACTTCCAAAAGTGGTCCGGAGCTTGTGTTTTTTGTACATTTTGACTTGGAAATGTGCTTCACGCCACAACGGCGTGCACTTTTTGGACATCTCAACTTCCAAAAGTGGTCCGAGAATGGTGTGTTTTGTACATTTTGACTTCGAAATGTGCTTTGCGCCACAACGGCGTGCACTTTTTGGACATCTCAACTTCCAAAAGTGGTCCGAGAATGGTGTGTTTTGTACATTTTGACTTCGAAATGTGCTTCGCGCCACAACGGCGTGCAACTTTTCATCTCTCATCTCCCCAGATGTCTCCGCACCCACCGCTTTAGCGAGCCTACTTTTCAACCCTCCGGGGCCACAAATCATTGGAAAAACACAGTGTTTCGCGACTTTCCTACCTTTTCGCGCATCTGCATCTTCTTTCTTCTGACTCTTTCTCTTCTACTCTTCTCTCTTCTAATCTTTCTCTTCTCTCTGCCTCTGCCCTACTCTGCTTTTCATCTGTCCATACTGTCGGAAGTTTGACTTCTAAACTTCCTTCGGTCATAAGTAAACCCCTCGGATCTAAGCCACCTTTTGATTTTGCTGATCCTGCAAGTAGCGTGATGCCGTAGCCACGCACCGTGAAGACGATGCAGTTGATCGGCAGCCAGCTCAGCGGCAGTGGGCAGGGGACGGCCTCGAAGACGCGAAGGTCGCCAGGCTGCAAGCACGGCGACCTGCACGCTGATTATGTTGTATCTACACCATCTTGCGCGGTTGTGTAGTGTACAAGTGCACTAATGTTTTGGGATAGTAGATGTTCATCCCAAAATGGGTATCGCTTTGGCTCAAGTTGACATTCTTTTCTTGAAGGGATTTAAAATTTCCCCCCCTGCCAGACCACAATTCAATTGGGATGTTTCTTTTCTTCCTGTTTATATATAGCTCTTCACTTTCATACCTGGTCTGGCACTAGTATCAACCTGTTTCACACATCCTTTGGGTGTCATTTGCTGACACTACTTGATGTTGCATCCCGGCAACTTCAGAGCTTTCGCATAGCAGTGTCATTTCCTTTCTCAATGTGGCCAAAATGGCCTGCCGATGTGGCAGAAATATACCCTCAGATTTGATCAGGAAAACCCTGGTCAAATGGGTCCAAAAACAAATAAATTAAAGGACCGGATAACCCCACAAGTCAACTTCTTCCAATAATAAGCATGAAAGGTTGTAGCAGGGACGGGGAAAGAAGGTAAGGGAAAGGAGGCGGTGAAGGATCGAGAAGTTAAAACAGTTGTGAGTGACAAAGTGGAATGTGAAAGATGGTGTGTGACGAAGAAAGATGGTGTGTGTGTGTGTGTGACAAAGCAGTGTGTGAAAGATGGTGTGTGTGTGTGTGTGTGAAAGTTGTGTGTGTGTGTGAAAGACAGCGTGTGACAAAGTTGTGTGTGAAAGATGGTGTGTGACAAAGTGGTGTGTGAAAGATGGTGTGGCGAAAGATGGTGTGTGACAAAGTTGTGTGTGTGAAGGATGGTGTGGTGAAAGATGGTGTGTGACAAAGTGGTGTGTGAAGGATGGTGTGGTGAAAGATGGTGTGGGTGAAAGTTCTGTGTGAAAGAGAGCGTGTGACAAAGTTGTGTGTGAAAGACGGTGTGTGACAAAGTGGTGTGTGTGGCAAAGTTGTGTGTGAAAGATGGTGTGTCAAAGATGGTGGGTGACAAAGTGGTGTGTGAAAGATGGTGCGTGAAAGATGGTGGGTGACAAAGTTGGGTGTGAAAGATGGTGTGTGAAAGATGGTGTGTGACAAAGTGGTGTGTGAAAGAGAGTGTGTCAAAGATGGTGTTTGACAAAGTTGGGTGTAAAAGATGGTGTGAAAGATGGTGTGTTACAAAGATGGTGTGTAAAAGAGGGTGTGTCAAAGATGGTGTGTGACAAAGTGGTGTGTGTGGCAAAGTTGTGTGTGAAAGATGGTGTGTCAAAGATGGTGGGTGACAAAGTGGTGTGTGAAAGATGGTGCGTGAAAGATGGTGGGTGACAAAGTTGGGTGTGAAAGATGGTGTGTGAAAGATGGTGTGTGACAAAGTGGTGTGTGAAAGAGAGTGTGTCAAAGATGGTGCCACGCAAAACGAAGGTGGATGTGAGATTGTGCCCCGCCTGCCACGCAAAACCAACGTAGATGTGACCAAGTGCCACACCTGCCACGTGAAACGAAAGTGGATGTCACCAAGTGCCACGCCTGCCACGCAAACAGCCGCGGCGTCACGGGCGACAAAACCGGGCCCAAGGGCGCCACCCAATGCCATAAGTGCCACGCCTGCCACGCAAAACGACCGTGGATGTGAGTTTGTGCCACAACTGCCACGTGAAACGAAGGTGGATGTCACCAAGTGCCACGGCTGCCACGCAAAGTGCCGCGGCGTCACAGGCGACAAATCCGGGCCCAAGCGCGCCACCCAGTACCATAAGTGCCACGCCTGCCACGCAAAACGACCGTGGAGGTCAGATTGTCCCACGCCTGCCACGTGAAACGACGGTGGATGTCCACGCAAAGTGCCGCGGCGTCACAGGCGACAAATCCGGGCCCAAGCGCGCCACCCAGTACCATAAGTGCCACGCCTGCCACGCAAAACGACCGTGGATGTCAGATTGCGCCACAGCTGCCACGTGAACGACGGTGGATGTCACCAAGTGCCACGCCTGCCACGCAAAGTACCGCGGCGTCACAGGCGACAAATCCAGGCCCAAGCGCGCCACCCAGTACCATAAGTGCCACGCCTGCCATGCAAAACGAACGTGGATGTCAGATTGTGCCACAGCTGCCACGTGAAACGACGGTGGATGTCACCAAGTGCCACGTGAAACGAAGGTGGATGTCACCAAGTGCCAGCCGCGGCGTCACAGGCGACAAATCCGGGCCCAAGCGCGCCACCCAGTACCATAAGTGCCACGCCTGCCACGCAGAAGATGTTAAGTTTGTGTGTGTGTGTGAAGTTATTGTATGTGAGAGATGGTATGTGACAAAGTTGTGTGTGTGTGTGTGAGTGTGTGTGAAGTTATTGTATGTGAAATTATTGTATGTTAAGTCATGGTATGTGACAGTGTGCAAGGGAGTTATTGGATGTGAGAGATGGTATGTGACAAAGTTGTGTGTGTGAGTGTGTGTGTGTGAAGCTATTGTATGTTAAGTTTGTGTGTGTGAAAGTATTGTATGTGAAATTATTGTATGTTAAGTTTCTGCGCGTGAAGTTATTGTATGTGAGAGATGGTATGTGACAAAGTTGTGTGTGTGAGTGTGTGTGAAGTTATTGTATGTTAAGTCATGGTATGTGACAGTGTGCAAGGGAGGCGGCGGGAGGAGGAGAAGGAGAAGGAGCCCGGGATACAGAATCAAAAACAAGAACCCCACACAAAGTTGTGGGGAATAATTCTGGCAGTCGAAAAAGAGAAATGAAAATAAATGAGCGTTGGTCGCGATTTCAGATGATTTGACGTTTATGTGCTACTTGCGTGTTTTTGGATTTATTTACTTAAAGAATAAAAAAAAAATAGGCTAGGGGAATGCCTACATGAGCCAGACCATTCGAAGACGCGCCCGGGCCTCCAGGCTGCGAGCTCACCCGTAATGTACTCGCCGTTCAAGATGACATAACATTCCGTCTCCTTCAAAGATAGCATGCCGCAGCAAGATTATGTATATCTTGGGTGTTTTGCGCGGCCTGGAAACCGATAAAGAAGATATATGTCATGATATCCCACCTTAACTTCCAGAATCCTTAAAGTTACCCGCTGGAATTACTGCCACTTTTTGGTCACCACCGCAATCAGCAATATTGATAGAAGAAAACATGAAATCGAGATGCGTTACAACTTTGGCCCCATGCTACTCTTTGTTCCGACCAAGACCAAGTAAATGCTTTCTTGTTAGTGTTGATATAAAGCGTCATTCATCCAACTGGGTTATATAATTAAAGGCAGAATCACAAACCCAATACCCTACCAATGAAAATGACACGAACATGCCCGGATCACCCCTCTCCCCATCCTTCAAGTTGCCCCAGATGTCTGGAAGGGCGAACAAAGTCCCCCCGCCTCCCGGCAGCGGCATATGCAGGTCGGCCAGAAATTGGTTCCGAACGCCGTTAAATAATCCACCGCCGCAAATGATGGCCCGCTTTGCTCCCGCTTGGACGCACCAAGGCTTTTTCTCCTGGGGACGTTGGGTTGAAAGCCAGAAAACCTACCTTTATAACATCCGAAGTCTCTAGGATGAAGGTTTTTCAAAATAATACGTCTTAAGATTTTGATACGTTTCAGATATGATTTGTTGTTATGAATTGTTTCTGGCGTGGTTCTGCTGTTATGATGTTGATACGGTTTTAGATATGATGTTGATATGGTTTCAGTTATGATTCTTGGTGTGGGTCAAACTTGTGATTTGAAGCCAACCCATCGGAACCATATCCAAAATATCCCAAAACCCTATCCAAACCATATCATAACCGTATCAATACCGTATCAAAACCGTATCAAAATCATATCAAAACCACAAAAACCGTCGAAAAATCGACCAAAAACATGTCCCTGGGCTGTTTCTGTTTCGTTTTTTGAAGCCAACTCACTGGAACCATATCAAAATCGTATCAAAATCATATCAAAACCGTATCAAAATCGAAACCTGTCCCTGGGCTGTTTCTGTTCCTTTTTGTTTGACAAATCATATCAAAATCGTATCGAAAGCGTATCAAAACCGTATCAAAACCATATCTAAACCATAACCCAAACCATATCCAAGACATAACAAAACCATATCGAAATCATATGCCCAAATTCAATGCGTATCAAATTCATATCTTCCAAGCGTATCAAAAACCATATTAACACCGTAAAAAAAAAATGATTTCCTGAATCTGGCATCCTCGAGTGATTCCGGGGTTATAAACCTACCTACCTGCAGTGTATCTTGGGTATATATATATATATATACAGTATATGCTCCCTTACTTGAAAGGTTTCCATGGCCCCAAACCCTGAATGACTGTCCTCCAGCACCTCGGTCAGCTCTTCCAAGGGCGTCTCGGGCTCATCGTTGCCGGCGACAACGAGGCGGATGTTTTTTTTCGCGCCGTGCGCGGGATGGGGTGTCCGGAAACCGGCCGAGCTCCCACGGGAAACTTCACCCCCCTTTTCAATCGGATTTTCCATTAACCATCTAGCTATTGGAGATCCCCTTATGGAAACCCCCATATCTTAATATAGTGCTTGTCTAAAAAAAAATATCAACCATTGAAAGTGATCAGAGCCAGCAATCAGCTGGGTTCACTGGTATCCATGGCATCGACAATCTTGTCGCATCCAGTCACATATATATATATACCCTTTGGTTACTTAACGTAGCGAACTGGAAGCCATGGCCCATGAAAATAGATGATAGACATGATGATTTACCTTTAAAAAATGGTGATTTCCCAGTTCGCTACGTTGAATAACCAGAGGGTATATAATTACAAACACATAAATGAAATACGGAAATCATGAACAAATGAATATAGACAATATAGATTATAAATGAACAAATTCATACAGTCCATGCTAAACTCCACAAAAATCAACACCCCCCGGCTTTTTTCCCTGCCTCCGGCAGAACGAGGATCTCACTTCTGCCGCGCGGCCGCGGTTTTTTCGACGCCGCCGACGGCGTCGGTGACGTCGACAGCTTCCGCTCCACTGCGCCGCGCAGAGCACGTTGGAGCTCTTGCGCCTTGGAGCTTAGGGAAATGACCAATGTACACTTTATGTGTTTTATGGGCAAGTTCTATTTATATATTTATATTTATATATGTGTATATATTTATATATTTATATTTAATATATATATATATATTTATATACAACACACCTGTATACCACAAATGTATATATATATATATACATGTTGTGCATATAATGTATTACATACACAAGTGATCTCTGTAAGAGATGAAACGCTGATCACTTGGACAATAAACCAGAAAGTCTGAGTTCCCCATCAAGTTCAACAAAATGTCTCAACATCTTCAATGTGCCGAAACAAAGAATTAGCGACTGACTTTTCCGACAACTGAGCCAAGATTCCCATCCTGGTTAATATGTTAAACCCCATGTTCTATTGCTTTCCATGGTTTTCCCAACATCCAAAATCATCCAACTGCTTCAACCCTCCCAACATCCAAATCATCTCGGCACTTGTGACATGATGATCTCCACCATCAGATCCACCCGGAGGTACTCGTTCTCCAAGGCTTTCAGCTGTTCCCAAACCTCCGTGAGGTACTCATCGGCTCCACCTAAACCTGACGCCGCAACGTGGCCGAAAAACCGGCACCTTTGGGAAATCCACGGGACATCCAGCCCGGTAGCCATTTTTCATGGGATTTCATGGTGGTTTTAATGGGGATTTTATGGGGATTTTAATGGGATTTAACAGTTCGCTATTGAAAATGGCCATAGAAATAGTTGATTTACCCAGCTATAAAATGGTGATTTTCCATAGCTTTTTGTATGTTTACCAGGCCGGGTAAATTGGAAAAATCTAGAGGTGAAATGGCGAATGTCGCGGTTCTCGTGGCTATACCTTTCGTGAGTTGGAGCAACTCATCCACTTACCATGACTCGCTGATTCTGGCAACATCTAAGTGGTCCCAACATTCAAAACTGTCAATGTTAGTTGGATAATAGTTGGATAACTCTTTTACATCCAAAAAACTGTTAATGTTTGTATCCACGACAATTAAACCATGATGTTGACAATGAACTGTGAATCATATCTAATCCCGCTCATAGTCATAATAGGACAGTAAGAACAGTTCTCTTGCCAAGCTGAAACGCAATGCTCACTTCGTCAGCACAATTTCATCTCTTTTGCTTGAGGTCGTTAAAAACTCATTGGTTTTTACGCTATCTGTTCTTGGGCAAAGTTTGGGGTCAACTGTATCTAATCCTCCCCTCAGCCATCGTTATGTACAATACATCTTGTATGAATATATGACCAACCATTACCCTCCAGTAAATTAACATAGACCCTGCCAGATAGGATTTGGAAGATGAGTTTCCACTAAAAATGGATGATTTTCAGGTCAACAAGTTAACTTACCAGAGGGTAAGATTAACCAGAACCACTACAAGGTGGTGCCCCATACTTTGCTAAGTTGGTTTGTAACTCCAATAACTATGGTTTATGGTAAATATATCTATACTTAGTATGGTTTATAAACCAACATTCACATCACTGGGGGGGCACCACCTTGATTACATGGCTTTCCTCCAGTCAAACATGGCTGGAAAATCCATCATTTAATGCCATGATTTTCCCAGCGAGCCATGTTTTATAAATAATCAATAAGTACAATATCATTAACTTGGTTAACTATATAATATTAACATATATCGGCATATATATAAACTATGATGTCATGTCACTATACCTAAACTATATTAACTATAATGTAAACTGCAATATAAACTGTAATATAAACTGTAATATAAGCTGTAGCATAAACTATAGTAGAGTATATAGACTATTATGTTGACATCATATTATATTCATATCATAACTACATTATTAGAAACTATCAGTATCGTTATATCTATCACTATGATGGTTCAGTATATAATATTGACATCTATCAACATATATTATTAACATATATACATATATAACTATATTGACTATATTTCTCCAATTGATATAGTTATGGTTCATGCTGCTATTCTATTAACTATAGATGGAACAGTCAATACACCCACCAATAAAAGTGAACTATAATGACATCATAATAACATCGTATTTACTATAACTTAGTGTCATATCAACAGTCCCCAAATAAATTCACTATGTTCACTATATTCCCCCAATTAATATATAGTTATGGATGTGCAAATATATAGCCATCCCCAATCTTAATATATGTCATCCCAAAAAAAATATAACACCATCATATTCACTATAATTAATCTATAAGTCTATAACTGTTTTACATTCATTATACTTTATCGACAATTAATTTTGATACATATGTACCATACAGATCATATACACCATAAATTCATGTTGATTATGATACCATCTTGATCTACTATGATCTACTATGATTATATACATGGTCATATATTATCCAATAGGTACATATAATCATAGTAGATCACAATATCAATATATACCCAATATATACCCAATAATTTTGTACAACCATTTATCATCTTACTGGTGCTTAGTAGGGAATGGATGGGTTGCTGGGGGTTGCTGGGATGATTATTACTAGTTATTGTGGATCATTCCCTCATTCCCTGCGTTTAGCACCAGTAAGTACTTTGTGATTGGTGCATATATGCCCAATATATACCCAATATTTTGATATATCCATTTATAATTTATTATTGGTACATTACCATTCTCATTTCCGCCTTCGTCTCTCAGCTGCGCCATGGCCGCCTTCAGCCGCTGCTGCGCCTCCTCCGTCAGCGTAGCTTTCAGGCGCCGCCGCAGCGCGCGGCCGCGCTCCTCGTGGCCCTGGCGGTGGAAGACGTGGAAAACGGTGTTTTTTTAGGAAAAATGGTGAAAGGCGTGGAAAAAATTGCGAAAATCGGCGAAAAACATGAGGAATTTGATGGAAAACAAGTGTGGAAAATCATGACGTTTTGGAAAAATGTGTGAAAGGTGTGGAAAGTCTGGGGAAAATTGGGAAAATGGTGAGGAGTTGCCATTTCTGATAAAAATAACAAGATAAAAAATAGCAGTTTTGACTAGAAAACATGCGGCAAAAATAATGATATGATGCCTTTTTAGGGAAAAGTTGCGAAAATCACCATTTGTCACCCTGCAAAAAACATCTTTAAAGCGAAAGAAAGGAGACACGGTTACATTCCAAGTTTGCGGGGCATTCAGCTGAAGTGGCAGATTCAAGGAAGAAACTACCAATGAAACGGGACACCAAATTGATGGGGATCTGAGATTTGATGGCAAGAGCTGAAGATTTGACCAAAGGTCGTGAATGAAATGGGGAGGTACTACCAATCGAAATTGACACATACCTGATATGAATCTATAGTTTATCATGATTTTCCGAAACGGCAACCTGGTTGGTATACCCTCATTTTCAAACAAAGAGCTGCTAATATTCAACTAGATCCCCATCATATCCCCATTATAGCCCCATTATACCCGAAATTATGTCTGGTTGTATCACCATGTTCCCAGAAATAATCCCAATGCATCCTCCATATCTCCGACATATCTCCATCAAAGCTTAGAACTTAGAACTTTTGTAACCATGGGCAGCTGGCCGCCTGACGCTCAGAGTTTTCTCCAGGCAACATCTTGGGCAGAGCCTTCCACACCTCGGTTGAGGGCGTCAACGGAAGGAGTTTCCAAAGAAGTTTGGACAAAAAAACAGCAACATTCAGGAAGATTGAATTGGTTGTACCTGATTTGTTATAGCTGATATACTGTTCTACCTGATATACTGATTATACTGATTATCCTTGAATTGGTTTTTGTTCGCCCCGAGATGTTGCCGGAATGGCATCACCGAGATGAAACCCTGCATGGCCTCCTCTAACTCGTTGCCGGCAGCCACACAATCCACCGGGATTTCTGGGATTCCACCTGAAATCGGAGGGAACCCTTTTTTTGGTCCATATTACGTGTGTTTTTTGGGGTTTTTATGTGCAATGTTTGTTTGTATTCATTTATATATCTATAATTATTTATATATCACAGGGTGCACAACCCCGGCAAAACCCCCCCGGAAGCGCAATAGATGCTTAATAAGGAAGTTTGCTTTTTTCGGCCTAAAAAACTGGTTTTCCTTAATAAGACCTTATTTGGTGTGAAGGCAATTATATAATCAATATATATATATATAATATATATACATATATATATATATATACATATATATATATACATATATCTGTGTTGTGTGCACATGTATATGAAACATGTCTATTTACATCTGTATGTTGTATATGTGCATCTATGTATATACATCAATACATAACTGTATAGATTTATGCATGGCAACTCGTCCAGAATCCAAGTTCCCCATGCCTCGAGCAGGCGGGGATGCTTCAAAGCTCTCGACTTCCAACAAACAAATGACCTGCTATCGGTGATGACCAAAAACGTTAGCTAAGTTGGTGTCCGCAACTCCAACAACTATTGGTTATAAACTATGGTTTACTATGGTTACAACCAATATAAACAATAGTTAGTTATGGTTAACTAGTTTATGGTAGATATATCGAACTACTTACTATGGTTTATCAACCAACAAACAACACTGAGGGGGCACCACCTTGTGGCATTGCCATGTTTCATGACACCGGAGGGCAGATTCCATGACTTTTTTGCGGAGACACCCGACATGGATGTCTCAAAGATGAAACGTGGCAACTCCAGCTGAGGTGTGTCTTCGAAATTTGGTGGTGATAAAAAAGACTCCGTCTGCACGAATTTTTAGCCATAAATCACAACTATGGTTGGGTAAAACGCCACCCCGGGCCAAGTACTCACTTTCGCAGCGTGGGTACGTGAGAAGCCAAATCCCCCTACTTTTCTTGCACACTTGGATTTGAATTCCAAAATTGTTTGTAGGTGTGGCTATAACTATAAACTGACATAAACCCAAAAAATAGGTACTTAGTGGTCACAAGGATTGTGAGCCACCCACGAACTGCGACACACATCCAAGTAACTGGCAGCTAGTCCCTTAAAGATTGGCGTTCTGAGAGAAGCACTGTACAACTTGATTGCTGACTTTCTCCCGTATGGTTGCTGATTTTCATCCAACATGTACTTGGGAGCTTGCTTAAATCCAGGTATTGGGGAATAAAATCCAATCGTGTTGTGATATCCTTTGCGCTGGTGGCTTAAATCCCTTTACTTTCACCATTTTTTGCACATATACTCCACATCTTTCTCCATTTTTCCTAGTCAAAGCATGTGAAAATTGGATGACCATAATCGGTGTTAGATTCACCATTTTCAGACGCACCCAAAGTCATATTGTGGTTGGTTATTATATAGATATATCATATATCCCATAAAAATCCATAAAATATCCCCATGATACACGACTTCTGTAAATCCCATGAATCATCACCCATATAGTTGGTTAGTTCTATCCCATAAAATATCCCCATCAACCCCTGTGAAATTGCCGACAGCTTAAATCCCTGAGGAATCGGATGGTTTCCCCGTCAAAAATGTCGGTGTCAATATATGAAAGATGGGAAATTTCATCTATAAATGGCAAATTTTCCAATAAAAAACATATCAAAATCATCCTATAAATGGTATACGTTCCACTATTTTTTCCATAAATGGAAAAAAGCGGATGGCTTCCACCCCCCCACGGGCCTGTTCGCTAACCTTGGGCAAGAGCCGCGCCAGCGCCGACTCCACCCGCCGCTGGTCGCGACGGAAGTCGCGCAGGAGACAGCCGAAGCTGTCCTCGGTGTGGAGCTGAGATATTGGGGTGATTAATGGTGGATACTAATGGGTATATGAATTGGTGTATTCATGAGATATGAATGGGGATAGTAACAGGTATGCTCATGGGTATGTGAAAATTGGATATGAATGGGGATACAGTATGAATGGAGATATGATACATAACAAACTATATAAAGGGGATATGAATGGGGATATGATGCATAGCCAATGATCAAAAATGGATTTTACCATCAATTTTTATGGTGGATTTTACCGTGAGAAATTGCTGAAATCTGTAGCTTTCCCGTTCGCAAAGTGATCTATGAATGCTGGGTTTCCATATCTATGTTGGTTCGGTTTGTCCAAGACTATTTTGGGTAGACAAAGCATGATGACGGGACACAAAACGCACATTCGTGGATATATAATCAGTGTCTTCAGGTACAAACACAGATTTTTGGCCCTGTTTTTTATGCGTAGTTTCATCCCCACAACTGACTGGTGACGTGACACCTGACGACAGTGTGGTGAAAGCCCCGCATTTTGTTGGTGAAATCTCTAAATTTTGTGTTGATTAAAACCTCTATTATATGCAGGAGTGGTTGGTTATATTCCCAGTATGGTTTGCTGGCTTATACTCCCCACAACTTTGTTGGTTGAATCACCCGATAAAATTGATACATCCTGGTGGTGGTTATCGGTACTGAGTGCGTTCTGATGGTAACTTGGAGTCACTTAGAAGTCCCCCATCCAATTCATAAACGATATTTAGATCCATCCTTGAAATGTGATTGTTATATCAGCATTTTCCCACAAATAATCCTCATAAATCGTCATTAATCTATATATATATCCCCATGATATCATCATTGTACCACCACAAAATCGGTAACAACCCATCATTGGTTGGTAAATCCCTCATAAAATGATTGGTTTAATCCCACATGTTGGTTGGTTGAATTCTCATGTACAGATTATATCCCAGTGTCGATGGTTCAATCCCGTTTTTCCCATTATATCCATTATGTATGAATTCCTAATTGTATATCCAAAATATATATATATATCCATTAATCCATTAAGTTCTCATCAAATCCACTAAACTTTTGTTGCTAGTTCATCAATTCACCATTAATCACCCCAGCATCCCATTTCATTATATGGTTAAACTCTGTATTACATCTAATGGTTGATGGTTAAAACCATAAATTGGTTGGTCTAATCTCTTTTTGCCTGGTTAAATCCCATCATTAGCTGGTTTTTGTCCCCGTGATATCCATTATGTATTGACTTCCTAGTTCTATATCCACTTATCCATTCATGAAGAAAGCCCATCAAATCCCCAATTTCAGTTAGATCTGCACAACATTCTTGATGGTTAAATCAGATGTGTTCCACTATATCCATTAAATCCCGACCTAAATCCGCATATTCCGTTGCTCGTTCCCGTTTTTTTTGCATGGCTAAACCCTCCCGCTCGTTCCAAGCATCTTTGTGATATTAATCACCATAAATCACCCACTACATGATGGTTAATGCTAGTTATTTTCCCACAACTACAAGTTCCATCAAATCCCCATAATTATTCTGATTCAGGGTTGATGGTTGATGTTGGTGATGTTCCCAAATTCCTATCAAATCCCCATGATATCCCATTGCATTCCCATTGTTTTCCCATATGTCCAAGACATCTTCCCATTGTCTCCCATTATGTTTTCCATATATGAACTATGAACATCAACAATTCTTGGTGAATCACCATAGAAAAAGTCTAAGAAATGATGGAAATCCTTCCATTTTTTGAGTTCAAATTCCCATGGGTTTTCCATGAAATTCCCATTGATTCATTGATTCCATCAAATCGCCATGAAATCACCATAAATCATCCATTGAATCACCCATATTCCCATTCAATGGGTGATTTATGGATGATTTATGGATGATTTATGGATGATTTATGGATGATTTATGGATGATTTATGGGTGATTTATGGATGATTTATGGATGATTTATGGATGATTTATGGATGATTTATGGATGATTTATGGATGATTTATGGATGATTTATGGATGATTTATGGATGATTTATGGATGATTTATGGATGATTTATGGGTGATTTATGGGTGATTTATGGGTGATTTATGGATGATTTATGGATGATTTATGGATGATTTATGGGTGATTTATGGGTGATTTATGGGTGATTTATGGGTGATTCCAAGCATCTTCCTCCAGTTTCAGCTCCGCCCTCAGCTGTCGGCACAGCTTCCGCCCCACGCCGAGGCCCGCCAGCGCCGCATCCAGCGCAAGGTCACCGGAGGTCGCCACGGCGGCGCTGGCGCCATCCTGGCGGAGCAAAGAAAACGCTTTTGGTGGAAGAAAACTCAGAAAAAAACTGGGAAAAATCGGGAAATGTCAGGAAAACGTTGGGAAAATCAAGAAAACCTTGGAAAATGATGCGGACAAGTTGAAAAAGTTAGGAAAACAAGTTGATCTCACCAACAGAAGTTCAGCATCAATTTACAGGAAGCCATATGGTTTTACCCACGAATATATAGATTCCTGTGAATGTTTTCCCCGCGTCTGGGAGATGGCTGGGAATGGTTAAGACCACCCATAAACATGGTGATTTTGGGGATGGTTTATGACATTGCTTTAACCACATTATAGCTATACCGTTACCCCATTTTGTGGTAAAGTTAGTAAGGGATCACAATGACTAGTCGGACTAAGAACCACAACTAATCGTGGGAACCGCGGGGGATAAAGCAGGCATTGCTCAAGGGTGTCCCGGCCTCTGCTGGCGCAGATGCGGACGCATCGGGGAAGGAGCGCCATGCAATCTTTGAATTTTTGGGCATCTGCAGTGGCAGATGTTGCGCGGGGACTCAGACATATGGCACAGCTTGGAACGAGCCCTTTACAAGGTATAGTAACCCCGCCAAAAAAAAGACAGTAGGGGTCAAAATTACCACTATTTTGCATTGAGATATTACTCTTCATTTTTTGGGGACCCCTACAGGGAAACCACTGGGAGATGCTGTCTCAAAGGGGAGGACCTGGCACCAACGAACTGCCCGAAGGGCTTCGGCAAGGTCATGGTGTTCCTTCATCTTTGCACAACATCTGTTATAACTTTTCTATACTTTGATGGCATCAAATTCATATTTGGTCTTGTTTTTTCTTGGAAACCATCATGAAACCTCCACTATGGAGCCAGAGCAGCTGAACTCAGACTTCATCGCTGAGACCAACACCTCCCATGCTGCCCATTCATCCCAGTTGCAAACATGTTTTTTCCATGGTTGTCACATCAAACACTTTGCCTCTGCTTCTCTAGCCACTTCCCACAGAGAACAAGGGCACTGTTTTGATTCGAAATGTCCTTCGCGTAACGCTGAGTGAAGCTGGCAGAATCCCATCCTGCGTGAAGTACCCATAGCCGCCATGGATGTATGGTTTTATCAGTTTTATCAAAAAGATGGGATGCCCCTTGAAATCATGGGGCAAATGATCTTTGTTCAACTTCGTTGGAATGATGTGACCCATCAAACTTCAATTTTTGGAAGTTTTTGACCCATCAAAATCTCCATGAGAATCCTTCAAATAAAAACAAAACATATGTATCGGGGTTTTGTCTGGAATCCAGGGGGTTTTCAGTTTCTTAGTCCGAGGTCTCAAACCTCTAGTGCCCTTTACCATGTGGGCGGGTTGGGTACCCCAAAATGGGTCCCGATGATGGTGATAACTCCACATATAAAAAAAAGAAAAAAACACTGGTAATATAGGTTTTAACCCCATTAAATCCCCAGGTTTCTTGGTTTTTTCTCATCATTGTCCTATGGTTTTCCTATGTTTTTCCTATGTTTTTCCTATGGTCTTCACCATGTTCCTATGGTTTTCCTATGGGCTCCCGGTCGTTTTTCCCCATCCGAGCACAGGACCTCAATGGTTTCCAAAGCGTCTCCACTTTCCACTCACGCTCCGCGGGGTCTACCTCGGTGCTAGACCCAAAACTCCCCAAGGGACATATGGCTATGGATCAATACCTATAAGTACCATTTTTAGTGGGATGAACATCCATTTACCAGCTATTTTGATGTTCACCAGGGGTACAAGGTTTTGACACACTGCCATATCATATATCATATAAAACTCCCCTTTGGTTTATATCACACAATTAAACAATATATACATATATATATATATACCATGGCCCCGAATCAATGGGCTTTATACTCGACAGGGTCTTCACTTGACTCAGTATGTGATCTATTCCCGGAGATTCTTGACCTCATCACAGGCAGAGCGTCCCATCATTTTTGCCGAAGCTAGGCATCCTTTCTCTGTGCCTGCTGGATATCTCAGTAGTTGATGCACTTTACAATTGAACAAATTGCCGGCAACTCGTTGAGGTTGTTAAATGACAGATCAAGCTCCTGTAACTTGTCGAGCCCTGCAAACAGATTGGCCCAGACTTCACATTCAGAGTGCAACTATTCAGGACAAGCTTCCGCAGGTTGCCCAGCGCGGAAAAGGCTTTAGCAGGCAACTCGCTAAGATCGTTTCCGCTCAAGTCAAGCCACCGCAAGTTCCTGAGCTCTGCAAACAGGTGGGCCCACACTGCAGCCGGCAAATCGCCAAGTTTGTTCCACCCAAGGCTGAGTCCCTGCAGGTTGCTGAGTCCTGCAAACAGATTGCCCCAGACTTCAGCAGGCAACTCGTTGAGTTTGTTGAAAAACAGAAAGAGCCACTGCAACTTGCTGAGCCCAGCAAAAACTTCAGAAGGCAACTCTCTGAGTGTGTTGTAACGCAGGTCGAGAATTCGCAAGTTTCTGAGCTCTGCAAAGACTTCAGTTTACACCAAACTTACATCAAATTTTGATGTAAACTTACACCCTTAAAGGGTAAGTTTACTCCAAACTTACGCTGGCAAGTGTAAGTTTACACTTGTAAATGTAAGTTTGATGTAAACTTACACCAAACTTACACCTCAATACCTTACAATTTAACCAAAAACATGTTTTTTTTCAAAAAAAACATTGTTGTTTTCAAAAAACACTTGCCATTTTTTCAAAAATACCGTTGTTTTTGAAGAAAAGAACAGTTTTTTCCAAAGAAAATGTATTTTTGAGAAAAAAACTGTCAAACACACACTTCCTTGGATAGATTTTACATGTTTAAGCCAATGAAATTGATGGCTGAAGCGCCCAGTCATGCAAAACAATCGGATCACCTTTTTCAGGGCATAAATTTGACATCCAGCAATGCCCAAGTGATTGACTGACTGTGGGTTGCAACGCCTTTTGATTCCGGAAAAACAATCCTTTAGTGATACATTGGCTCTGGGTTGGCCTTACTTTTCAATAAATTTAAAGGCTGGGGACCCCAAATTATAGGTAAAATGTGCGTTTAACTGCCTTCAGAAATAGAAAGGCTAATCATCCCAAGTCATTGGCAAATTTTGGGGTTTGGATGTTTTGTCATGAATTGTCATGAATATAAATGTCAAGGCTGGAGACTCGCCTCAGTGATGGGTCAGGATTGCTAAGGCACAGTTGTTGCATTCCAAAGGCGGCGCATGAAGCAAAAACAACAATTTTGTGTCTTGCATTATATACCCAATTTTGCAGACAAAGGAAACTTTGAATACATCCAATCGTCACCAAGCACTTGATGGATTTGTTCCTACCACTACAAGTGAAAGGCCATCCAGGCCTTGACATGTTTTGGTTTATAAGATTGTTGCTGCCCATCATTAAAGTGATTTCGCAAAGTGTTTTTCAAACCCAGGGTTTGCCAAGCACTTGGGGTTCTCCAACCTTTATATAAATGTATTGCAAAAAATCAAAAACAATCCAATCCAAGGTTAAACAATCACTCAGGGACCTCCTATGTTTATCTCAATAAATGGATGGATGGAAAAAAAAAAAAAACATGAACACCGGTGAGCGCCCATGAACGCACATGAACACCCATGACCACCCATGAATTTAAATGTATTCCTTTGATTTTTCATTGATTTTCCAAAACACTGCAGTTTGCAATTTATATTTTCAGTCTTTGTTTTTTAAATGGTTGATTTATCATCTTGGGTGTTTGGTCTTGCGTGGTTTTAAGTCAAAGTATGTTGTTTAAAAACCTTGAAAATCATGATAGGTTGTTTTTTTCATCCTGTGCTGGTTTGGCACCCAGAAAAACTGTCCATTGCCATTGTTGCAGCACATGTTTATATATAGATATAAACATATAGATCTAGATAAATAAAAAATAAATGAATAACATGATTTTTCCCAATGACATTTTGTAGCTGGGTCTATGCCATCCAAAGTTCCGACCAACACAATTTCGGAGAACATTTTGTAGTTGTCAATGATTGAATTTAGTTGGATCAAGTGTTGACCCCGTGCAGTTTGTTTAGATGCTTCAACTAACTCAACATATACAACTACAAAATACAAATGAGGATTTGAAAGGAATCAACTACAAAATGAATGCAAATACAAAAAGATGGTCCCAACTCCACTGTTTTGTACAAAACGACCCCTGGCTGGCAATCTGTACTGTAGCCCAAGTTCTCCCCTTTATGTAGCAAAAATTTTGAAGGAGGATCCAATTGCTGCAAGATAGGCCCAACATACCCCCGACTTGGCACAGGATAGGCCCAATATTGTTGGGGCATGGCCCAAAAAGGACGGTTTTCCCCAACCCAGACGTAATTTTTCTTAGGTCTGGGTTGAAATTGGCTGAACATAAGCCCAAATGGCGGCATCTTTTTGCTCAACATAGGCGCCACCAAGTGACCCAACATAAGCCCACCAAAGGCCCATGACATGGTTTCGAATACAGCTTCCAACCAGGTCTATCAAATACACATGCCATAAATGTGCAGGATAGCCCCAACATAGGTGCCATTCTTAGGCTGATGCGCTTGTATTTGATCTAGCCAAGCATCACTACCAGTGAAACCGCGGGCATCCAGAAACTCCCAAGGCTTCACAAAAGATCTTGAACCATTTTTTCAACCTAAACTTGAAAAAGCTCTCAAGTTACGCTTGTTTTCTTTTGTGACCTGTTTTGATATTCATCGAATTTTTGCTTCCAATTATATTCACAAAATGCTGAGCATCTTTGAAGGTGTTGATAAAAAAAAGTCTGATTTTCAAAGAAACAATTTGAAAAAACTTAGCTTACTCATCAAAACAACAAACGGAAAAAAAGGCTATTCATATAAATAACCGAAAGAAAAAAAGGTTATTTGATCTTTCTGACTATTAGGTAAAACAACAGGTGAAAACAAAATTTAACTAATAGTCAGAAAACAAGATATAATCTAATAGATAGAATTTAGCCTAACCAGAGCTTTTGGGAATTGGGATCCCCGGTGGGATACGACTGCAAAAGCTCAAAGTCGCAAGTTCCAAGACGAGAAAAGGTAATGCTGTTCAGAATCCGCACTTTCTCGACTGGCAGTGCTGGGCATTCGACCAGCTGCAGTGAACTTCCTGCAGCGCTGGGATGAAGCCCTCATCTTTTTCCCCGTGCGAAGCCCATTTCGGGGACATAGTCCCAGCAAACTATGGACTTTTGGATAAGGCGCCCTTTATCAGGATATAACTGGTGTCTAAATATCGGAATCCCCACACAAGTTGTGTAATGGTGTGTGCACATGCGAAAAGCCGGTAATATGGAGCAGCTTGCGGAATAGTCACATGGTTGTCCTTCATCGGTCCACACATTGGGTGGTGTAAACACCGCAAACAATGGAAACCATCTCAACTTGAAGGTGTTGAACATTGTTGAACTTCCATACAAGTTCTGGCATTGATAACATGGATGAACCCTAACCCTTGCTGCATCGTCCTCCATGGTAGAAACCCTGGCAATTGT